CCACTTTTATTGCTTTCTCATTCTCTGAAATGACTCTTTCAAACCTTCCTCTCCTTTTTGTGCCACATTTCTTTGGAAAAAAATTCTAAGAACTAATATTTATTGAGTGCTTAGTATCTATCAGGTATTGTTCTAAGCTCTTTAAATGTACGAGCTCATTTAATCCTCAGAACAACCTGCTACTATTTTCCACATTTTAAAGATGGAGAAACTGAAACACAGAGAAGTTAGAAAAGTTGCCTAAGGCCATATGGCCACTAAGTGATGGGTCTGAGGACTCAAATCCAGGTACTGTGGCACCAGTGTCTACATTCTTAACCACTAAGCTTTGAGCCTCTTCTCAACTAAAAGCAGAGAGGAACTCATTCATCTCTCTACCATCAAACTATCAACCCCTGGCATTTGAACTCACACTCTCTGCTTTCCCTCTTATTACTATGGATGAAGTATCCCTGCTCCTGGTTTCACTGGTGAATTTCACCAAACATTCTAGGAATAATTGATGTCAATCTTTCTCACGCTCTTCCAAAAAACTGAAGAGGAAGGAACACTCCCAAACTCATTTTATAAGGCCAGCATTATCCTGATACCAAAGCCAGACAAGGATGCTACAAAAAAACTATAGGCCAATATCCCTCATGAATGTAGTTGTAAAAATTCTCAACAAAATACTAGCAAATCAAAATCAATATCACATTAAAAAAGATCATACACCACAATCAAGTGAGATTCATCCCTGGGATGCAAAGATGGTTCAATATATACAAATCAAAAAAATGTGACACATCACATTAATAGAGTGAAAGATAAAAATCATATGATCATCTCAATAGGTACAGAAAAAGCATTTGACAAAGTTCAACCTTCATTCATGATAAAACCCTCAACAAATTGGGTGTAGAAGGAGTGAACCTCAACATAATAAAGGCCATATTTGACAAATCCATGTTTCAATGTGGAAAGGTTGAAAGGTTTCACTCTAAGATCAGGGACAAGACAAGGGTACCCATTCTCACCAATCCTATTCACCATAGTACTGGAAGTCCTCACCAGAGGAACCAGGCAAGAAAAATAAATAAAATGTATTCAAATTAGAAAGGAAGAGGTCAAATTCTTTCTGTTTGCAGATGACATGATTTTATAAATAAAAAAAAAATTCTAAAGACTTCACCAAAAACCTTAGATCTAATCCATGAATTCAGTATTGAAGTATACAAAATCAATATCCAAAATCGGTACAGTCTCTATATACAAACAATGAACTATCTGAAAAAGAAATAAAGAAGACAGTCCCACTTATAATAGCACCAAAAGCAATAAAATACTTGGGAATAAATCTAATCAAAAAGGTGAAAGATCTGTACACTGAAAACTATAAGACAACATAAGAAATTGAAGAATACACAAATAAATGGAAAGATATTCGGTGTTTGTGGATTGGAAGAATTAATGTTGTTAAAATGTCCATACTATCCACAGTTACCTATAGATTCAATGCAATCCCTATCAAGTTTCCAATTGCATTTTTTACAGATAGAAAAAAAATCCTAAAATTTGTTTGGAAGTACAAAAGACCCCAAATAGCCAAAGCAATCCTGAGAAAGAGCAACAAAGCTGGAGGTATCACATTCTCTAATTTTAAACTATATTACAAAGCTACAGTAATCAAAACAGTATGATATTGGCATAAAAACAGCTATATAGACCAAAGGAAAAGAATTGAAAGCTCAGAAATAAATCCATGCATATGCAGTCAACCAATATATATATATATATATCTTAAAATATATATATATTTTAATCTGGAGAACGCCCATCGGAGTTGCCCTTTTATTTTATTTTATTTTTTATTGAAGTATAATTAACATACAGTGCTATATTAGTTTCTGGTGGACAATATAATGATTCAACAATTCTATACATTTCTCAGTGCTCATCAAGATCAGTGTACTTTTAATCCCCTTTTTCTGTATCACCCCTCCTTCTACCCATATTCCCTCTGGCAATCACAAGTTTGTCCTCTGTATTTGAGTCTGGTTTTGTTTTTGTTGTTGTTGTTTTCTTTGTTTTGTTTCTTAAATTCCACATATGAGTGAAATCATGTGGTATCTGTGTTTCTCTGACTGACTTATTTCACTTAGCATTGTACCCTCAAAGTCTATCCATGTTGTATAGTCAACTAATATTTGACATTAGAGCCTAGAATACTCACTGGAGAGAAGATAGTCTCTTCAATAAATGGTGCTGGGAAAATTGGATATTCCCATGCAAAATAATGAAATTAGACCCCTCACAAAAATTAACTCAAAATGAATTAAAGACTTCATTGTAAGACCTGAAACCATAAACTCCTAGAAAAAAACATAGGGAAAAACTTCTTGACATTGGTCTTGCAATGATTTTTTTGGATATGATGCCTACAACATAAGCAACAAAAGCAAAAATAAACAAGTGAGACTACATCAAATTAAAAGACAATCAAAAGGTTAAAACTTCCAGTTATAGGATAAATAAGTTCTGGGGATGTAATGTACTGCATGGTGACTATAGTTAACAATACTATATTGTGTATTTGAAAGTTATTAAGAGAATGAATCTCAAAAGTTCTCATCACAAGAAAAAAGTTGTGTGGTGAGATGATAGATATTAACAAAACATAGTGTGGTAATCATTTAGTGATATATATCTAGTTATGTATATAATCATATATGTTTATATGTATAAATAATTATGTTGTACACCTTAAACTTATCCAATGTTATATGTCAATTATATTTCAATAAAACTGGGAAAAAAGATAATGAAGAGATTAAGCATGATCAATTTAATCTTACTTGAGATTTGTACTTAATTTGATTAGCTAGCAAATAGGTTCTCGGTTTAGCTCCCTTGGTGATATTCTTTTTCCTAGAGTTTGTGTTATCAGCAAAGAGAAGGGATTCACAACACAGTACCTGAATAAAAATACTTTTTAAGTTCAAAAAATAAATAAAAGACAAAGAAAACCTCTCCCTTCTAGCTCACCTCCACTTCTAGCTAATGTCTCACTTCTCAGCTCCCTTTTTAGTTCTTTCCCTCATATTTTCATTGCTGGCTCTTTCTTACCCTTCACATCTTAATCTAAATGCCATTTCTAGATCCTCCACCCCCAATATAAAGTAGTCATTCACTGGCTTCCTATTATATCAACTTACTTAAATTTTCTGCAAGGTTTTGTTTTTGTTTTTTAAATCAGTATTAGATATTTTTCTTATTTACTTTTTTAGTATTTGCTTTTCATCACCAACTTTAGCTTTTAGAAAGCAAGGAAACTTTCTGGATCCTTCACTGTTGCATTCCCAGGACCTTGAACAGTGCCTAATATAGCAGGACGGTATTTTCATTGTCCTTATAGGCTCTCAGTGATCTACCCTTACTTCTCTGACCTTGTTTCCTACAACTTTCTCCCTGGCACCCTGTTCCACTGTAGAGAGCAAAATGGAGTCTCTCATGTCAAGCAGGAGCCTGTGTCAAGCAATGACACAAGTAGTTAAAGGTACAGCACCTAGGAGATACCTCTGGGACCAGCATCAGCTGACAGCCCAGAACTGATAGCAAGCAGAACCAGAGGAGGTCTTCAGGGTCCCAGGACCAATTAAATGCCTTCAAAAAGGGAGGATTTTTGCCCCAAACAGACTCTTCAGACATGACCTCTCTATGTCTGACCACTTAAAAATTCAACTGCTGCCAGAGGCTTGCTCAATATGATCTCTGAACAGAACTGAGATCTTTCACTACTTGAACATAATAAGCAGTAAGTGTTGAGAGCTGACCTGGATCAGACTGGGGCCTTATCTCAGCTGTGCACCCACAGACAGACTTTGCGTTTGTTCCTTAACTTCCTATACCTTTCTGTAATCTTGTTGGTTTGTGTGGTTTGTCTTCTGTCCTGCTCTGTGTGCTGTGTAAGAAGTCAAGTTTAATCACATGGTGAAATGTCATTGAATTTGGAATCCTGAACCTGCTTTATAATTGTGATTAAATTTGCTTTATGATTGAATAAAGCTGACATTGTGGAAAGACAAAACTTGTGTATGCACTTCATAGTGTGCTCATGACATCCACTCATACTGAACTTGCTGTTCCTTCAACATGCCAGGCTAAAGGTCTTTGCACTTGTTATTCCTTCCCTTGGAAGGCTCTTCTGCCAGGTTCCCTCCTTCACTTTCTTTAGGTCTTTGCTCAAAGTTTGTTACCTTCTCATTCAAGCCTTCTCTATTTGGGAATTTAAAATTGCATCTCCCACTTTCTGCTTCTTTCCTTGCTTAATTTTTCCGCATAGCACTTACCAGTGTTTAATATACTATGTAATTTGGGGCACCTGGCTGGCTCAGTCGTTAAGCGTCTGCCTTTGGCTCAGGTCATGGTCCCAGGGTTCTGGGATCAAGCCCCAAGTCGGTCTCCCTGCCTGGCGGGAAGCCTGCTTCTCCCTCTCCCACTGCCCCTGCTTGTGTTCCCTCTTTCACTGTGTCTCTCTGTGTCAAATAAATAAATAAAATCTTAAAAAACACATATATACTATGTAATTTACTATTTATTTTATTGCCTGTTCCCCTCTATTCCTCATGAAGTCTCTGCTGAATCCCCAAAGCCTAAGAGTATCTAACACAAAATAGCAAATATTTCTTAAATGAATGGATTTGTGAAATGAAGGCATAAATGAATATCAGATGTGAAATCTTTGGGACCTGTAAGGTATCATCATGGGTAATAAAATTATTTATGTTAATAAATAATCTTAGCGGTATTCATGCTTGCATTCCTCACATCCCTGGCACCCAGTTCTGCACACAATACACGCCCCATGAAAGCTTGTTTGAGGTTGATAGCTGGGGGCATGGGTGGTTGAGTTTACGAGGAGCAGCAGCAGCTGGCCCCGCCCCGGCCCCGCCTGGTCCCGCCCCTTCCCGTGGCGGCCCCGCCCCCCACAGTGAATGCCTTATAGGCGAGTGACGTCAGGTCGTTTGTTGTCATTGGCGGCTCCCAAGATGGCGTCTATCATGGAAGGGCCGCTGAGTAAATGGACTAACGTGATGAAGGGCTGGCAGTACCGTTGGTTTGTGCTGGACTACAATGCAGGGCTGCTTTCCTATTACACGGTGAGACCTCGTGGGGCAAAGCTCCGAGCGCCTCGGGGGTCGCTATCCCGGGGGGGGGCGGGCTTTTTGGTAATCGGGTAGAGGTTGCTAAGCTGGGGGTGCCGCCGTACGAGAGGGTTCCCTCGTGAGGGGAGGTTTTACGTCCCGGAGAGCCAATGAGGGTGAAGGAGATGGTGGCGCAGCCAATAACCAGGCAGTGGCTGTCTGATTTATGGGTTAGGGGCGAGCCGCGTTCCTTTTTTAGGGTCCGGTATTAAGCTGTGGTGGGATCCAGCGCGGGTGTAGGCGGGTGAGGGTGGTCGTAGCCATGATTTAAAAGGGCAGGTTACGCAGTGCGTGTGGTTTCCCCACATTGTCATGAACTTGACATTGCCCCCCCGACCCTGTAGACTGCCGCGCCCCTTAGCTTCCCTCCAGGGATTAAAGGGCGCTGTTTTCTCCAAGCAGTGGTCACACAAGCTTGGCCAGGTCCTGAGGTGACTGGCTCTCGGGCCACACGAAGGAGTCCGAAATCCCCGCTGTCTGCCCAAACTGAGTGTTTCTTTCATGGGACGCACTCCTATTCTGTGAGAGGCGAGCGTAACCGACGCCTTAACTTTTGAAGCCAAGGATTTCCCACCCAGGCGTTTCTCGTTAGCGAAGACGGAACGGATAGTGCGGCGTCTCCTGAAAGTTGTATTCTGGGGAGGGCTGAATTTAGGGCTTCACTGTCATTAAACGCGAACCAGTGGCCGTGGGCAAGTGCACGAATTGCCATGAATCTTATGTTCTGATTATCCGTTCCACACTTACCGCATTAGAAATAGAAGGTGGGTGGTATTAGAGAAATTAGTTACAAAAGTACTGTCTCTGAAGAGTGTATAGTTAATAATAGCCAACTAGAGGGAAGAAACCACTTAAAAGGACAAAACAGAATTCCCTGAAGCCTTCAGAAAATTATAAAAGAAGAAAAAAAATTATAGAAGAAGGGTTAGTGTTGAGAGAAGTGGGAGCACTAGTATTTATTCGTTCGTTTGAAAACCATTTATTGAACTCGCGCTGTATGTTAATTATTATTGCTTTGGGCTAGGTGTGTGCTTGTGAGCAAGAATCAGCAGAGATCAAGGTATTCACCATTCTTTTTCTCTGGAGCTTATATTCTAGTTTAGTGGTTCCCTTAATTCATTTCACTCACAGTAACTATGCAAGGTAGGTATTTGTTATCCTCATTTTATAGAGGCTCCAGGCTTTTAAGTAATTTGCTCAAGATCACAAAGCTAAGCAGTAAGTGGTGTAATCAGGATTCCAGATTGCTGGCTTTCTATTTTCACTGCACTTATCTGCAGGGGAGAGAGGTTAAGTGCAAGCTGTGAGTTACTAAAGGCTAGTCTGCAGGAGTAAAAAAATACAACTTTGAGCATCCTTTAACTATCAACGTCCTTTCTCTACATAATTTTTAAAGGGAGAAAAAACCAAACCTGAATGAGATTTAAGCCCATCGTTCAAAATTATCTTTAGGTAGCCATGAAAGAGATGAAACTGAACATTATATCCTCAGAACTCTGGAATTATGAAATCCCATGGCTCAGATAAAGAGTAATGTTGGGTTTCATTAGATGTGATAATCAGAAATTCCAATGGACCCTTTCCAGCCTATTCAAGGTAGAGTAATTTCAGTAAGTAGCACTATGGAATTAAGTTAACTCTACAAATCCCACATTTGTATTGGTCTGAACCTAGGGCCATACCGGAGAGGCCCCAAGCTGGGGTTCTTAGGAGCTCCTAGCCCAGCCCAGCTCCTTTTTCCTGTATGGTTTTTTTTTTCCTTAGTGTATCCTTTTTTTTGCCTCCTTGCCCTTTTAGTTTTTGAATACCTTGATAAATCTCTCCTTTCCTTACTAACTAAATATAGGTTTTTCATATACTTCTTCCTCCCCTTCCCCCAGTACCTAATTTCTGCCTTCTGAGACCAGACTCTATAAAACATCATCGTTGCCAGCTGAAGGAGGTATCATATTTCTCACTAATGGCTCTTTAGAAGTCCTTTTTTTTTTTTCCTTTTCTAGTTCTTTGGTATTAAAGCATTTGCTTGTAGAGAAACAGCAGGGAAATATTATAAAGTAAAATGATCTTGTGAAATAAAATGATACCTAATCCCAAATTAGAGGAGGTCCAGCAAAGATGAAAAGAGGATAGGTATACACTTAAAGTAGGAGACACGTTGAACATTGGCAAGGGCTTCTGTATACTTAGACATTGTTTTAGTACATTAGGATTCAGAAGGCTTAGAAGGTACAGTTTAGCGATTTGCATGGGGCTAATAACTTGGAGCTACATCTTCCAGAAAGAGTATCTGAATTAGTTACATTAGCCTTTTAGCAGAGTAATAAATAGCAAGTCACTCTGTCCCTTGTTTCCAAAATCACTTAGGCTCTGGTCTGGTTCTGTGATTGGAGATCTATTCCAGGGTGGCCATGAAAACCCTGAACTAAAGTTGGTTGGCCTTGCTTTAGAGTTCCCCTGTACTGAACATTGATATTGGGGGGCGCCTGGGTGGCTCAGTTGGTTAAGCGACTGCCTTCGGCTCGGGTCGTGATCCTGGAGTCCCGGGATCGAGTCCCGCATCAGGCTCCCTGCTCAGCAGGGAGTCTGCTTCTCCCTCTGCCCTCTTCCCTCTCGTGCTCTCTGTCTCTCATTCTCTCTCTCTCAAATAAATAAAATCTTTAAAAAAAAAAAAAAAAAAAAAGAAAGAAAAAAAAGAAAATTGATATTGGGATAATCTCAGAGTTGGGTTAGAATCACTGGGATTGCCGTGAACTGAATAGATTCACCTAAATGTCATCTCAGCCTGGATCTTTTTCTCTGGGCCTGGGCCCAGACCTAGACCTGTTCTCTGGGAATGAATGTCTTTTTACTTTATCTTTCTTTTATTTTCATACTCTGTGAATTTTCAGTTTTTGAAAAAGAGCTTCATAATAGTATTGTTCTGCCCAATACATGAAGAGAGAAACTGTCTCTTTTAGGAAAGTAGATTGAGACAGTCTTTTCAGCTCTAGTCCAGTCTCTTAAGTATTAGAAACAATATAACGTAGTTCATTCAGCAAGCATTTATTTGGGGCCGACTTTGTAACTGGCATTGTATTATATATGGTGGTGGTACAGAATGAAGGAGAGTCCCTTCTACCTAGGAACTCACAGTCTAGCAGCGGACACCTAAGCATAATTTCAAAACAATATGATAAATTTCAAAACAATATGATAAATTCTACAATAGAAATAAGAATAGAGTGCTGTGGGAACATTGCCTGGAAAAGGCGAGGGAAACATTTGAGCTGAGATTTATAGGATAAAGGAAGAAGAGAAAAGGGGCATTTTAGGCAATAGGAAACTTGAGAACATAAAAGTGCATTAAGAAGATACTAAGGATTTCTGGGGGGTGGGGGGATGGGCTATCCTGGTGATGGGTATTAAAGAGGGCACGTACTGCATGGAGCACTGGGTGTTATATGCAAACAATGAATCATGGAACACTACATCAAAAACTAATGATGTATGGTGATTAACATAACATAATAATAATAATAAAAAGAAGATACTGAGGATTTCTGAGCAGCTCTAGTGTAAAAATGTATATGGGAGATAGCAGGATATTGAGTCCAGAAGGCATTGGGAGCCATAGGTTAGGCCTGGAAATGAAGATCTGTTAGATTATAGCACATAAGTAAGTTTATTAGATACCTAGGGAGGGCTAAGGTATAAATTTGGGAACACTGTGAACAGCCAACCATTTATGTGAATCATGATCACAAAGGAAGGTGAGAAAGGAAGGAAAATTGAGGGAGTTACAGATATATGGGGAGTTGGAAGGTTAGAAAGTTAGTAAAGATCATGCCTTTTGTAAGTTTATCACATGTTTACTGAGAACCTACTGTGTGCCAGGTGCAGTGCCAGAAGGAGGCGTTAAAATGGCAATAAAATGGAAATAATCCATGCTTTCATGATACCTAGAGTCTACTGGGGGATACAGCAAGCAAGAAAAGTGATCAGGGAAGCATAGGATGCTTGGGTATGTAGGGAGGTCCAAGACTCAGTCTTGGAAGGTCAGGAAATATTGCCTAGAAGAAACAGGTTTGCTATGACCTGAATGATGAATAGAGGTTAGCTATGTGAGCAGAGAGAGATAACTGCTTGAGATAGAGGAAATAAATGTTTTCGGAGGAGACAAGAGTAAGGAGTTAGACAGTCCTGGAGTTTGGGCTGTGAGATGGACATGAGATGAGCTGAAGAGGTGGGTAGGGGCCAGAAAGACTTTCTTGGTAAACTGTGCTAAGGAATTTGAATTTTTCCCCCAGGGCAGTGAAAATCATTAAGTGTTGTAAGTAGTCTTTGTTATAGAAAAATTTTGATTATAGAAAATTTCAAACATATAGAAGAGGATAATAAAATGAATTCCTGTCATCCAGCTTGTACAGTTATCAACATATGGCCAATATTGTTTTGTTAATACTTCCACCAACTCCTTCCTTCTCCATTGGTTCATTTTAAAGCAGATCCCAGATACTATATCCTTTCATTTGTGAATATTTCAGATGTATTACTAAAAGTTAAGGTCTTTCTCTTTTAAAAAAGTTATCACAATACCATTATTACAACTAAGTATTACTAATTTACTAATATAAAATATCTAGTCAGTGTTCAGTTTCCTTGTCTCAAACATTTCTCCCTCACCAGTTGGAGTCAGGATTCCAATTCCATTTCTTTCTTTTTTCTTGTTTGTTGAAGAAACCAGATCATTTATTCTGTGGGATTTTCTACATTCTGGATTTTGCTGGCGGCATTCTTGTGGTATGTTTAAACATATTCCTTTGTTGTTTGTATTTCCTACAATATAGGAACTGTATAAACTGATAATTAGAGCTAGAAACTTAATCAAATTCAGTTTTTTTTTTCTTTTGGGCAAGAATTCTTCATAGGTGAAACATTACATTAGGTGGCACATAATGTCTGGTTGTCTCTATGATTTTAAAATTGATCAGGAGGTACAGGTAAAATTTGTATCCTTTAAAGAAGACTGTCATTACAGAGAAATAATCAGGTCCTATCGACAGGACTTAGTGATTGGATATGAGTGAAAGGGGGAGGAGTTGTCTAATGAAATGCAGGTTTTTGGTTTTACATGGGGAATGATGATAGGGAAGATAGGAAGAGCAGGTTGGGGGAGAGGTTGCTTTGGGGCATATTGAAATTGATATAAAGATGTCCTATAGTCTGGAATTCAGGAAAAAATCTGGTTACAGATACATATTAGCTTTATATATGGAGAATTGAGAGAGAATAATTAGGATGCTCAGAAACATCTTTGGATTAGTTATTGCTTTGTAATCAGTTACCCCCAATACTTAACAATTTAAAACAACAAACATTAGAGTTTCTGTGGTTCAGAACTTTGGGAGTGACTTAGCTGGGTGGTTCTGGCTCAGGGTCTCAAGAAGTTGCGGTCAAGACATTGGCTAGGGTTGCAGTCCTGTGAAAGACTTGACTGGAGTTGGAGGATCTGCTTCCAGGATGACTCACTCACACAGCAGTTGGCACAAGGCGTCAGTTCCTTGCTGGCTGTTGGAATGTGGCCTCAGTTCCTCACCAGCTAGCCTCTTCATTGGGCTAGACTGGTGTCATTATGATAGGCTTTATGACTTCACCCAGAAGGGGAGTGATCAAAGTGAAAGCGAGGAGGTAGCCGCAGTGCCTTTTATGACTTAGTCTGAGAACATCACTTCTGCCTTATTCTGTTCATTAGAAATGCACCATACAATTTAGCTCATGAGAATGGGAATGGGAATTTCAGGCATTGGAAGGGGAATTAGGCCCTACCTTTTGAAAGGAGTGTCAAAGAATTTGTGGACAGATTTTGTTTTTTGTTTTTTTATTTTTTTTTAAAGATTTTATTTATTTATTTGACAAAGAGAGACACAGCGAGAGAGGGAACACAAGCAGGGGGAGTGGGAGAGGGAGAAGCAGGCTTCCCACTGAGCAGGGAGCCTGATGTGGGGCTCGATCCCAGGACCCCGGGATCATGACCTGAGCTGAAGGCAGACGCTTAACGACTGAGCCACCCAGGCGCCCCTGTGGACAGATTTTTAAACCACAGTCATATTCAGGGGATTGACAGAGAAAAAAGCCTGCACAGGAGAGTGACAAAGGACAGCCAGAGATACAAGAGAGAAACCAGAAGAATGTGGCAGTCAGGGTGGGAATAGTGAGTTGGCCTGAATACTGTTGGGAGGACTGAATAGATGAAGACTAAAAGGATCTACTGGATTGATCAGTTTGGAGATCACTGATGCCCTTAGTGAGATCAGTTTCAATGGGGTTGTAGGGGTGGAAGAAAGGCAGATTGGAGTGGTTTAAAGACTAAGGTGTAAGAAGTAGAAAAAGTGAGTGTAGATTGCTCAAGATGTTTTATTGTGAAAGAGGCAGAGAGGGATATGAAATTAAGGGGTAGGGCTTCTAAGGTAGGATTTTGCTTAAATGTTGTAGGGACAGGAATCAAGATCCATGTTAAAAATGAGGGTAGAGTTAGTACTTAAGGAGTGTAGTAAAAGATTTAGATCAATGGCCTTGGGACCTGGAAAAAAGGAATGGCTAGGGATACATTAAAGGTTAATCAGGTTGTTTGAGGAACTAGTTGAGATTATAAAATATGATTTGTTTCATCATTACTCCAAAATGTTCAACTCTCTTTATATTGTTTTTATAACATTTTGGAGAGAAAGTTAGCAACAGTGAATTAATAAGTTACCAGGGCCACTCAAGGTATTTTTTGTAAAAAGAATCATTAGAAAAATCATATATTCTTCCCTATTACATGCTGCCTGGAAGAGATTTTGCATTTCAGAACTACTGGTAGTTGGGGGCTACCCCGGGTGGCTCAGTCTGTTAAGCGTCTGCCTTAGGCTCAGGTCATGATCAGTGTCCTGGAATCTGGAATCCAGCCCTGCTTTGGGCTCCCTGCTCAGCGGGGAGTCTGCTTCTCCCTCCCGCTGCTCTTGTACTCTCCCTTGCGCTCTCTCTCTCTCTCTCTCTCCCTCTCAAATAAATCAAAAATTAAAACAACAACAACAACAAAAAACCACTGGTAGTTGAAACACATTTAAGAGTTATTTGGCTGTCCTTAGAAATGTTTGGAAGATGATCAAAATTTTTGAAGAGCATAAGTATATGTATTTTTCTTGCAAAGATGTAAAAGAGGTAGTTTCAGATTCTCCTAGAAAGATCTCAGCACCACTCCCATCAAACAGTTAAAAGTGAATTTATAGGGGCGCCTGGGTGGCTCAGTCGGTTGGGCGGCTGCCTTCGGCTCAGGTCATGATCCCCAGGTCCTGGGATCAAGCCCCGCATCCGGCTCCCTGCTCGGTGGAGAGCCTGCTTCTCTCTCTCTCTCTGCCTGCTGCTCTGCCTACTTGTGCTTTCTCTCTCTGTGTCAAATAAATAAATAAAATTAAAAAAAAAAAAGTGAATTTATACTTTTCTAAATAAACCATTCTTGACAGTTTTTATTAAGCTTAAATGGTATATATTAGAAGTCCAAAACTAATAAAGTCGCTTTTGAATTGTAAAAGGAACAAAAGAAAAATTGTATCTAATCTAAATGCCCTAAAAAGAAAACAAAGGAAGCTTCTAAAATGGTAAGTATTATCAGTGGGAAGAAGTATATGGAAATTTTGTATTGTTTGCTTTCTTGAATACTCTGGTCAGCCTTGATTTTTCCATTTCAGTACCCTTGAAACTTGCTCATATAATTCTTTGGGAACTTAATCATTTTATATTTGTTATCATTAACTAGCCGTATCTATAGTACATTCTTTATCTGTACAACAAGTTTGTAAACTCCTCAATGACAGTACTGAGCATTATGATTTTCAAGTCCTACAGTGTGGCACATTGTTCTTGTAGTGAATAGAATGTCCAACGCCCTTAAAACTTGGTTTAGAGATGAGATTATGTTTTACACAGCCTTGTAAGTTTTGCAGAATGTGCTAATAACAAATATGTACGTTTCCATGGTTTATGTAAAACACGATTGAACTTATATCAACAGCAGCGGCTTTTGTTTAATTATCCAGAGCCTGTAGAACTGTGTGGGATCTTTTGCTTAGTGTGTTGTATCAGACAAGCAGTCAGCTCTTGCTTCTGTTACAAGCAGTTTTTGTTAATGGTAATAATTTGTGGAAGGATGGAAAATAGATTGTTCTTATGCCACTCCTATATGTGGCAGTTGTCATAGGATCAGATTTTCAAATACTTACGTAATTCCAATCAAAGCCAGGACAGTGCTCAAGTGATTTAGATTAAGGATTTATTCCTTTTATTGCTTATAGAGAGACAGACAAATGGCCAGCCCAATCATTTATTTTTATTTTTTATTTTTAAAGATTTTATTTTTTTTTAAAGATTTTATTTATGTATTTGACAGAGAGAGGCACAGCGAGAGAGGGAACACAAGCAGGGGGAGTGGGAGAGGGAGAAGCAGGCTTCCCGCCGAGCAGGGAGCCCGATGTGGGACTTGATCCCAGGACCCTGAGATCATGACCTGAGCCGAAGGCAGACGCTTAACGACTGAGCCACCCAGGCGCCCCAAGATTTTATTTATTTATTTGACAGAGAGAGACATAGCGAGAGAGGGAACACAAGCAGGGGGAGTGGGAGAGGGAGAAGCAGGCTTCCCGCAGAGCAGGGAGCCCGACGTGGGGCTTGATCCCAGGACCCTGGGACCATTACCTGAGCCGAAGGCAGTCACTTAACGACTGAGCCACCCAGGCGCCCCCCTAATCATTTATTTTCCTTCTCATTTTATCATGCAGGATTCTCTTGAACTAGTTCCTTAAAAAAAAGGACTTTACTTTTTTTGCAAAAGTTAAGTTTGCAAGGTACATGAAATCATACAAATGGAATTATATTCAAAGGAAGTGTTTTGAGGTATTCATAATTAATTTTTTCCCATTCACGTGACAATGTTAAGATTATTATGAAAGTCGATTTTCTATTTCCTGGAGTTTTTTCACATTAGACCTTCATGCTAGGATTGTCTCCTTATTTCATTTCTTGTATTTTAGCCTTACTGTTATAGCATAGATGGGTAGATAAAATATTGGGTGAATATTTGCTTTGTTGCTTTGACAACTGTCTCTACATTCTCTCAACCCTTCTCTTTCCTCCATCATTCAGAGAAGGTGCCATGCTTCCCAGAGACAATGGAGTACGTTTAGTGGGAACACTCTTCTTTTTCTCTCTCTCTCTCTTTTTTTTAAAAGATTTATTTGACAGAGAGACACAGCCAGAGAGGGAACACAAGCAGGGGGAGTGGGAGAGGGAGAAGCAGGCTTCCTGCTGAGCAGGGAGCCTGATGCAGGGTTCCATCCCAGGACTCAGGGATCATGACCTGAGCCGAAGGCAGACGCTAAACGACTGAGCCACCCAGGCGCCCCTATTGGGAACACTCTTAACATCTTGTACCCACACTTACTAGTATACCTACTTTCCTGCTAACCCTACCTGTATCCTTCCCCATCAGAGTGGAAGAGGTAATCCTTGGGTATTCTGGATTCTGTCTGCTCACAAATTTTCAAAGACCCCAAGTCTATAGGTTTTCTCCTCCTCTGCTTTTTTTTTTTTTAAGATTTTATTTATTTATTTGACACAGAGAGAGAGAGTGAGAGAGTGAGAGCAGGAACACAAGCAGGGGGAGTGGGAGAGGGAGAAGCAGACTCCCCGCTGAGCAGGGAGCCCGATGCAGGGGCTGGATCCCAGGACCCTGGGATCATAACCTGACCCTGAGTCAGATGCTT